GCGCAGTTTCATGGGCTATAGGGGCATAGTGATGCTCGGTCAATCACTTGGATATGCATGAATGATGCATGATCGAACTATTGACCTACTTTGAAGTTCAAGTATAGAGCTTCTGTATATATTAGTGGATTCCTTTGACATGAGTGGAACATTGATTTCATTCAATGGATGTTGTGACTGTGGTACAACTCAAACGTCTAGCCGTAACTGGAGATTATAAAGGGTGTTTCTCGGTTATTTCAGAAGTTGAGTAGGAGTCATGTTGCCACAAGATTGGATAGAGTCTACCTATTAAATTAGGAAATGTGTCATGGCCGCTTGAAGAGGGAGAATTCAGAAAATACGTGGCCGCGTTCAAATGCATTACACAATAATCATTTGGTTTTGTAATTCTAACTCAGATTTCAAGAAACGATTTGTAGATTAATATGATCTCGACATGTGATGCAATCATATTATCAAATCGACACATATATTGACTTAAGGAATTTGAATATTGCACCCTTGTCTCAGACAAGTGGGAGATTGAAGGAGTTATGTCTTCGTCGTGTGCAATTACTAGATATATAATTGGATTAAATTATGGAGATAATTAAGTTCGTACGTTTGGGTCGTCGTTTTGCCATAACTAGAGGTACTAACGATCTTTGGACTAGTAAAATAGCCCAAAGCCCAATTGGACGGATCCTATAAGGTCACGCAAAGGGGCTAGATCGAGCATTAGAGGACGAGGCCCGTCATGGGCCTCATCACTCTAGGTGGCCGGCCATATGGGGATTAAGAAGTGGTTTTGGGCTTCGTACCCTAGTCTAATTATAATGAGATTATAAATAGACTAGGTGCCTAGGTTTGCAGTAAGTAAGGAATTAGCTGATCAGTATGATCAAACCCTAATTAGCAAACACAAAACCCAACCCCTCTCAAAGTCCTCTTTCTCACACAGCTCTCTCCTCCTCCCAGGCGCCGGTGGTGTGTCGTGGTGGTGGTGGTTCGTGCGGTGGTCGGTTGTCCATAAAGGTTGTGATCGCGGTTTTCCTCAATCACTCGACCAATCTAGTATTGGTGGACGGCTCGTTTGAATCTCGTGGACTAAGTAGAGGAGCAACGCTTGGGGCTCTATTCTCTCCCTGATTTGCCTGTCGAATAGCTTCGTGGAATTCACGCGTCAAAGGTATGATTATGTGTCTTGTGTGTTATGCATGTGATTCTTGGGATTGGTACTTGATTGAATATGATTCATGTTTTTCTGCTGCGTAATACCTATAAACTCCTACAGACTGATCCCCTAAGTCTTTTGCACGCGCGCCCACTAACTTCCTTCCCCAAGGTTGCTAGTCAAGGCTTACCCCGAGTATTTCTTATAGCAAGTATGGCAACGAAAGCTAAAGTAAGTGAGTAAGTAAGCACAAGTGAGGGAATAAGTTTAAGAGAACTTTGTATTTCTTGAGAAAGAGTGTTTACAAATTCTTGGATGGATTACAAAATGAGGGGAAGGTTCCTATTTATAGGCCTCCCAAGTAACTAGAATGTTCTACTCTAGATCCTTCTAACCTCCTCAAATGGAGGGTCCTAGAAGCTAACTTTTCTAGAGCTTTCTATACATTTATGATCTCCTACTCATATGTACATCTTTCCGGAGTATTCCAAACTACTCTAGAGATTACAAGTATGTACAAGAGAAATCTAGAAACTTCTAGAAGCTTCCGGACGCATCCCGAGTCTCCTAGCGTATTCTAGAAGGTTCTGGACTTCTCCTTGAAAATCTGGCTGCACCATTGTGTTCCTTGGGTCCAAAAACGGTGACCACCAAGTTTGGGATCATTTGGATTCCATTTGGTCTCCCAAATGACCCATTATTGTGTTACTGTCAATGCGGTGTTCACTAGAATTCCAGCAGGGGTCGGTGCTATATAAATCTCTATAGGGGGAAGGTGCTGACTAGCACCCATGGGCATCTCCCTTGGCCCAAGTTGTTTCCTACTTCCCATACGACCGCATTGACGCTATCAAGGGTGTGGGATATGAGTCGTGACATGCTCCCCCACCCAAGTCTTGACGACCCCGTCAAGGCCGTCCCTCGAACTCGGTTTTCCCTAGTCAGCGTTAGTTTAAGTAATCAATCGATGAGAAACAGTCGGATATAAATGTAAGCCGTGATCAATGGTACCCTAAACATAACGCAGAATGCGTTTCAATGCCTCATAATGAGGTTCCCGGGGATCATGCATAAAAAGACCCACCTGTAGTACCGCATAGGCAATATCTGGCCTGGTGAAAGTGAGATACTGAAGAGCACCTGCTAAACTGCGATACAAAGTAGGATCCCAAAAAGGTGGTCTTGCATCTGCACTAAGTTTAGACTTAGTGTCAACTGGAGTGGCTGCCGGTTTACAAGAGGCCATACATGCACGCTCTAAAATCTCCTGGGTGCATACTTTTCTGTGAAAGTAGCAAATAAGAAGGAGTACGAGTCACTACAATCCCTAAAAAATAACTCAGAGGCCCCAAGTTAGACATAGGAAACTCAGTTGCAATTGAGATATGATCCATGTGCGCAACTTGTCAGATGAAGTAGCTAAAATAATTTCATCAACATAAAGAAACAAATATGCCATATCATCACCCTGCCAGAAAGTAAAAAGAGAGTTGTCACTCTTAGCAATGACAAAACCCAATTTGATTAGAAAATTTGCAAAACGATGGCCTTTCGGAGCCGACAAACATGAGAGGGAGCTCTCCGACCAATAAAACCCGGGGGTTGATGCATATAAACAGTTTCCTGCAAATCACCATGTAAGAAGACATTTTTGACATCTAATTGATATATCGACCACTTTTTAGCCAAAGCTAAACTAAGAACGGTTCGAATAGTGGCCGATTTAACTATCGGATTGAAGGTCTCATTACAATCCACACCAATTTCCTGCGACCTGCCATCACATACAAGACAAAGCTTTGTGTCTTTCAAGGTCACCATTAGACTTGTATTTATGCTTAACAAGCCACATACAATTAACAACATTCACCCCCGTAAGCCTTGGTACCAACTCCCATGTCCCTGTTTTAATCTGTTATTGATATTTAATAGACTTAGAACTATAAAATGGTGAACTATAACCCTAGGTCTTTTTTGTTAATTGTTTTATTCCTATTTTATTTTAGACTACTTTTCTATTCAAATTTCATGATTTGTTTAGTTTCTCCAATTTGTTAGAGGTTAGATTGAATACCATCTCCCTGTGGATTTGACCTTACTTACCCTACTACATTGTTAGTTGGATTTGTTAGGAATTTATTTTTGACAGGCGTACGACAACCTATCAAAACACACTTATTGACACCTTTGAATTACCAACCCATGAAAGGAGGCAACCCTTTAGCCCATCAAGGGTAGCCCTTCTCATCCTCTGATAGTTGACATCACAAAAAAGACGGCTATAAATCCCTATAAATACGGGTTGGTAACATTATGGCAAGGTGCTATACCAAGCACCAACTCTGCTCTTCTTCTGGCATTCAGGAAAGATTTCAGAACGACCTTTCCTTTCTGTCAGTGTTGATGCTGCGTGGAAGAGACGAAAAAAGAAATCGAATACTTGGGATGCAGCAATAGCATGGTCAGCAGAGGATAATAGTCTACAGCACCTTCAGTTAGCGACCAGAGTATTTGCTACCAATTCAGATCAGGCGGAAGCTCTTGCAGTTCTTCACGCAATTAAAGAAATACCACAGGAGTACTTGAACATAGTAATCAAAACTGATTCTGTAGTTGTTGTACGAGCACTCCAAGAACCAGCAAAGGTAGCGGAAGATTTGAGGAGCATAGCAAAAGAATTCATCAGCAGAGCCAAAATGAGGAACTTCGTTTTCTGTATTAAAGTTGATAGAACATCTGTATCTAGAGCCCATCTCTTGGCAGTCAAATGCAGAAGAGATGGATGGATGTTCTCCGATCTATTTTGAAAACATAAACTTAATTAATATTTGTATGAGAACAAACCCTTAGCCTTATGAAAATCATTAATTAACCTTAGATAGTATTAATAATATATAAATTCCAAACAAATACAACTGAACTCAAATAATCTCAACACAACACAACAAATCTCCTTTGGCATAATCATGAAACTTGATCAAATCTCAGCTTTCACAATAACTGTAAAACAACTTAACAAAGCCTGCCTCCACCAGGCCATGTTTACAGAACAAATATAGAAAACTGAATACACACGGTCAAACCAAAAGTTTTTTTAAGTGGCTTAACATATCTTCTTTGTTTGACGTAGATATTCAAACACTTAAAACATAACAAATGGAAAACCTAATTCAAAGCATACTAAAAATCTATCTTGCAAACTTCTATGAAAATGTCACACTCTAAAACATATTTATGAAAAAATCAAACATAAACTTAATTAATGGAACAACTTACATAATACTTATAGTCACAACAAATATTTTGAAAACATAATAAACCTCTTGTTTATAAGCACTTATCAAACAGATCAAATCGTAATTAGGTTTACTAATTTAGGCTAGTTGCCCATTTTGTGTATCTGAAATACTCCTGACAATTGTTTGCTGCAATAGAATGACGATTCTGCAGTCGAGTTCAAATGCTAACCATGCTGCCATTTCGTTCCTCAAACCAGACCAGATATGTTAGTACAAGTGATGCATAAAAAGGTATGTAATTCCAATCCTAGCTTTACCTGTTTCAGTTTAGAATTCACATATATGATCACATCTCAGACTTTATTTGTGGTTTTAATTAGTTTCAAAGGGCATGGTATGCTGGCACCTTTCACAGCTTGGTGACAAATGACCGAAACAAATCCATTGGTGATAGTCGAGTATGAGGTAGATTCTTCAATTTGTACTTCTAATAACCGTATCATGATATCTAGAGGTTCTATTAAGCTCTCTCTAAGATACTTGAGGGTAAAAGTTATAATGTGGTGCTTTTGTACATACTTGTTTTCGACTTCTTTTTTTTTTTAATGAATGAATGAACAAATATAGTTAGCAATATGAAACTGAAGACAGTCAAGTGAAAAACAGAAATCAGAACAATTGTTTGAGCAGAAAAACCTGCTTCCAAAGGCAGTACTAGTTTGTGCTTCGCATTTGATCTACCTCTCAAATCCTAACTACTCAATTCAATCAATCAATTAATCAAAACCAACCAGCTATATATTTTACTAGTACTAGTAGTAGAAAAAGTAAACTAAAATGGTGGACGAGGAGCAGCTGCACCCCAACCCATTAGACCATGATGATCACCACCACCTCCAGCCACAGGAAACCCGTAACCACCTCCACCACCACCCGTAGTACCGCTACCTTCTCCTCCTCCTCCTGCTGCTGCTGAAGGATGATCAGGAGGCACCTGCACATCCTCCTGATGATCATCCAATGGAAGCCTCTCGAAAACTGCATTAGAGAATGAGGCTGCCATCAGCATGACAGGCCCAGAAGCGAGCAGCGGACCCACCACGCAGCCCCCAACGACCTGCCCTTGCCCTCCTGACAAAAATATGGACAAGCCTCCTGCCCCAGGGGGCGCAGGAGGGGGCAGTACAGTCCCTGTAATCGACAGTATCTCGAACCTCCCGTGTAGTGTGGCGACGCTGCTACTGTCTGCAGGCTGGCGCAGGGTAACATCCATGACAGTACCAGTACCACTGATGACACTGACTCCTCTTCCCCTCTTTCTGGCATATGCTGAAAGAGATTCCATAACATCTGCACCCGAAGACACCTCCAACATGTGAGATCTCAGCGCGTTGGGGGTGTCTCGGGTGACTACAATAGGTGGTTTAGGCTTGTTTTTGGATCCAGAAGGCCTGCCTCGAGGCCGTCTCATCGGTCCTCCTCCTCCAGAGCTTGTTGCGCCTGCTGCTGCAGGATCTGATCTGTCGACGTCTGCAGACTCAGAAGTGGTCTGAGACTCTGAAGGCTGGTTGTTGTTGTTGTTGTTCTGCAGAAGTTGATGCAGATAAGACGAGTGCGATGCACCTGATCCCATAAGTCCATGTCCATGCCCTCCTCCTCCATCATAACCCGACATGATTCCCAACACATCTACTATTCTACCTTCGATGAATCAATCGAAACTAATCAAGTATCAATCTTTTTCGCTTGCTGATTTATGATATACATATATAAAACTTGAGTAGTAGTAGTAGTAGTAGTAGTAGTAGTAGTAGTAAAAACGCACTGATCTGATTTTTCCTCTTCCTTGTTTCAACAACAAGCTTGATCTTCACTCTACTCTCTAGCAACTTGTTAGATCTTCAACAACGTTGACAAAAATAAATCTGCTTTGTGTTTCTTGCCAACTTGTAGTTTAATGCTTGAGCTTTGACCAAGAACCTTTTTTTAAAAAAAAAAATATGTTTTGATCTGCAAACTGCAATAGTAATGCCCTTTGAGTTAGACTTTAAGCATCAAGTGAGCAGATCCAATTGTAGAATAGTAGCTAGTGTGTATACATATACATATACATATACGGTAATAAATACAAGTATATACTACATACGAGTATCACTTGTTGAAGCACAAGAATATGTAATACTACGGCGTAGTACCCACTATGTAATTTAACGGTAATAAGGATGAATTAGGTTGGCCCTTTGTAATATGAGAATTATTTTTCCTTATTAAAGTAAAAGAAATAATAAAATAATAATAAGAACTAGCTAGGGTATCATTCTCCTATGCATAGTAAGTATGATAAGGAGTTTTAATGGAGATCTCTCATCTTAAATTGTACTGTATTTGTTCACTTGCTTTTATTTGACCCATGTTTATTTTTATTTAATTTTAAGAATAAGACATTCAAATATTGTGTATGTGTAGGATAGTTGAAAATGTTGTAAAGGTTAAAATATTGTCAAGTATTAAGAAGAATGTTAGTTTCTTTTAGACTCTATTCTTTTAAATGTATTTCAAAATGTATGTTACTTCAGTTTATTCAAATCAACTCTATTATTACTACTATCTTCGCTAATTATTATATATACTTTGAAAATTTTTTATACCTCACAAATTATATCTAAAAATCATACATAATAATTAATGAAGATAGTATTAATATTCTATTCAATTTAACTTAGCTACATTCTAATTCATCGTCATTTTGTTCAAAAGAATAGGGGCTAATCCTTATATCTCTTGTAAAAAATTAGTGAACTACTAACAATGCTCATTTTTTTATTTATATTTTTGACGGGGCTATTGAGTAGGACGTTCATATTGAGTGCATTTATATAGGATGTGTTCGATAAAGTGTAACAGTAGAGGTAGTTGTTAGCTGTGATAATAATTGTTGATTGTATGTATAGTTGTTAGTTGTCAATTAGATGTTAGCTGTAAAAATAAATAATTAAGCGTAAAAATTGAAAACAAGTCTTAAAGTATATATTTTCTTACTTAAAAATATAGTAGTATCTCAAAAGCTATATTAATACTATTCAAAAAAAAAAAAAAAAAAAAAAAAAAAAAAACCTATATTAATAAGTCTACTATGAGGCTTTGTCAATATTTAATCAAAACTATTCTATATGATAATAAAAATTAGATAATAAAAAATGACACATTCCACCATTTTGTTTTACAGTACAATGTATATTTAGTTTAATTAAGCTTATGGATGCTTTCTAAATAAAAATAAAAATGAAGCTTAGCTTATGGATGCAAACTACATTAGATTAAGTACATTCCACTTATGCAATATTAAAATAATTCAAGTATTAAACTTTCATTTCTAAGTAAATTTAAATACTAACTCCGTTACGTATTATTTGCAACGATTAAACATTTTTCCTCCCTACTTTATGTCAAATCGTTGCAAATAATATGTAACAGAGATGGTATTACGCACTGTATATGTGTATATCTACATACTAGCTTAACAAGATTATTTAACATATACACTTTAGGCATGTTCTTTTTAGATTATTTTCAGTTTAGTTTATTTCAGCTCTAATAAATTCAGTTCAATTCAATTCAGCTCTTAATTTCCTTCTCTCATGAAATATTCAGTTCAGTTCAGTTCAGTTTAGCTCCAATAATTTCAGTTCAGTCCAGCCAGAACAGGCCCTAAGTCGTACCAGATGAAATCGTGTCGTAATCACCTAATGACATACAAGTATATATAAGTATATTGTCAACAATAATGATTCCTTTTTAAGGTTTATAAAGTATTTATTAATTTGTACAAAATGAAACCTTGCCCTGGCTCTAATCACCTAATGACATACACCTATTCAAGTACTACCTCTGGTTCGCATTACTCGTAACAAAAGGATATTATTTGTGAGGCATAAGATATTCTTTTGTTACGAGTAATGCGAATCGGAGGTAGTATATAAATTGTCAACATTTATAAATTCCTCCTTTAGGCTTACACAATACTCCCTCCGTTTTTAAATACTTGCTCCATTTCTCTGAGGCACGCATGCCGATGCTAATCTTTGATCACTAATATTTTAATTATCAATAAGTATAAGTTCTAACAATTGAAAATTAATAAACTATTATTTGAGATGATTCCAACAAGTACCCACAAGACTATATTTTTTCTTATGTATAAATCACAAACATTAGTCAAAGTAGGACGAATAAATAGTGCAAAAATAGAATTGGAGCAAGTATTTAAAATCGGAGGGAGTATTATTACATCTGTTTTATATTATGTGAAACAAATTTTTTCTTTCTTTATTAAGTTGTTATTTTTCTCTATTCGCTCCTCATTACCTACATTATTAGATTTCTCTCTTCATTACATACATTATCAAATTTCTGTCAATAAATAAATAAATAAACTCTTCACTCAATACTCTTGAATAAAATTTGCCTAAGAGTCCAAAAAGCTTATTTAAATATGGGTAATGCTAATTGAAAAAAAAAAAAAAAAAAAAAAAAATTATGGATAATGCTATATGTAGCCCTAAGGGTTATATATAAACATTAAATACACTTTTAGAAATTGTATAAAATTAGGAATTTATGATAAAAACACGCGTAAATTAGTGTAATTAGTGTTTTTTTTTAATATAAATTCTTAACTTTTAATGATTTTCAAGTGTAAATTTAATGCCTATATGTAGCTGTAAGGGCTATTTTTAGCATTTTTCCTTTAAAAATTAACTACCCATGCTATGAATTTATTATATATTTTGTGATTAATTTTGAAGAAATAGATATAATGAGAAAAAGGAGTGAAATGAGAAAAGTGTATAGAGACAAGAAAACACAAGGCAAAAAGCCAGGTGGAAAAGGGAGCAAGGCGTGTTCACGTGCGGTCAAAAAGTCAAAGGAAACAAAGAGAGTGTTGAGGTGTCAGACCACGTGGAGCTTGCCGGGACATTGGAACTTGGTCAAGATCTTGATCATCCTCCCATCTCATCACTTTTACCATTTTTTTTTTTTATCTATTATGCCACACCCTCCATGTTCATTGCATCTTCACCCATTCTAGATATGTAGGTTTTCCTTAAAAAAAAATGTAGATACATTCACGACAAAGTTTATGTCTCTAATTTAATACATTTGAGAGTATAATATATATATTAATAATCTCGTCTATATTAGTAAAGACAATATATACAAAATTTAGTAAGTAGGACGACTTCGTAAGTGAAACTACTAATAAATATAATTACTTTTACACCCTCCGTTCTTTATTGATAGACCCTTGTTAATAAAGTCTAATACTTATTTCTTTTTTGTAGTTATCAATAACTTAATACTAAAAGCGAAACCAGTGATGCATGTCATTCACTGGTTAAAAATTTTCCCTCCACTTTTATCTTTCCTTTTTTCATGAAAAATATTTATAACGTATAATATTTACTTTTCATTTTGCTGATAATATTTTTCCATACGCACTCAAACGAAATATTTTTATATGTATATATTTTACAGTAATTATTTTTCTATTATTTTAGTATATAAATGTTATATTAATGTTGTAATTCACTATGTAATTTATTAAAATCCGTGCATTGCACGGGACTTTAACTATTACTTCAATAAAGTCTTAGCTTACTTGAAATTTATATTTTCAGCTTTTGTTGTAGTTATACTTGTATAATGGTGGTTTGGGGGGAGTGAAATTATACCATAAAAGACTGGATCAAATAAAGTAAAACATTTATTTAATATTTGATGCAATTTTAGTATGAATTGTGTTGTTTTCCTTTGTTAAAGTTTTCTCAAATCTTAGATTTTTAATTTTTTTAATAATATTTTATTTTCTTTCAAAACTCCCCCTTTTTTATTAAGTGTTATTTTGTTTACTCACTTAACTCACCTTTTTCCAAACTCTTGTATATAATGGTTTTGTTATGTTCGTTTTTTTTAATTTTTTTTTTTATATTATTGTACAATTATTGTTAACTGATTCTAAATTATTTTTAGACTAAACTTTTGCCGTTATTGATGGTGCAATTTTAGTAAGGACGGAGATACCGAGATAGTAGTCGTTAAAGTCCCTATAATAAAGTGAATGTACTATGTACCTTTCCTACACTTTAAGTAAGCTGGCCTGCCACCTTATTGGATTATAGATAGGCATGGAGCAAGGCCTTGGATAAGGGTCATAGTCTTCATCATATAATGCAAGCTTTGGAATTATTCGAATTATTATCACATCTAATATGCCAAAATAATAAATAATCCGTAACACACATAATTGACCATACTATTTTTAGAGATTGGTTTTGGAATGTTGAAAGGGGGAAGAGGAGAGATCTTGAGACAAGACTTGTGGATGGGGTTAAATTTGACTTTAAAGACAGTGAGGTGCCCCCCTTCCAAGTGTGGGAAACAAATCAGGTTTAGACTTGAAAGCACTAGTACAAAGTAACTGGGTTTTACCATAAGTTTTAGCATCCATCCAAAGCCATAATAACTCGGGAGTTTTCGTCTTCACCGTTATTAAAATATTGTCTCATTAATAATCCAACACAATATTTAAAAATTTAGGGTTTAGGGTTTTTGAAATTTAGGCTGTCAAGAATGAATTTTCCTTGTGTTATATTACTGCATTCCCAAGTATATATAACAAATTAACAACCTATGTTAACATATAATATGGCCTTGATACATTAACCTAATAACTAGTGTACAATATAAAGGCTTGAGAATAAGCATTAATTCATTAAACATGCTTCTTTAAATGAAATTATGTTGAAAATTTATGACAAAATCACGCACAAATTCATTCAATCAAATCTCGTCCATCGGCCTCGGAAACGATAAATAAAGGAGCATATGGGATGAGTATACTATTAAGGCGCAGCGGCAATGAATAAAACTACACAAGTGGCGATGCATGTTGTCCGACAAAATGAATCCCTGTGATTTGGTTTACTTTGCACATTTTTATAAACCAACTTTTTAAGCAGTCCCTATTTTTTTACTTTGTCGTATGCGGAAGTGTAATCAGGTGGGGGTATCCTCTTGACTTTGCATCTTCCTAATTGGCTATTTTAATCATCATTAACTACCATCATTATGAGATACCTAATGCCCTTTGAATTTCATCATCATGCATTGCTTCTACCCCTCTACTATAACCGTAATTTCCGTGTTTCCACTTTTCAGTAGCCAACCCTTCTACAGTT